GTAACGGACCTACTTGTCTAGCTGGCTAGACTAGGCAAAGTGGCCGTCGATAAAGCTAAAATAGACGGATCCCCACGGGAAAATGGTTGGCTAGGCCGTTGTCTACGTCTAATTGGCCTTAAAGTCTCCCTTATTAACTTAATATATCGTCCGAGGAGCTAGAACGGGCGGTCACACTGTTAAATAATCTAACTCTCAGCTGCAGGCTACAAGATGTTTTATTCTAAATTAGGGTTTCTAAATAAAATACAAAATTATACAATAGATATATATATATATATACACTCTGACCTGGGTTGGACGATGAAATGGTTGGTCAAAGCGGAGTTGAAACGGACGCACACAAAAGATAGTCGGATGGGCGGCTTGTAGTAAAACGGCAAAAATATAGAGCGCAAGGTCGAGGATATTGGCGGTCCGTGATGGTAAAGTCAACTGGTTAATTAGATGATACGCGACGTGCATTATCCTGTGTGTGCGACCGTTCCCCTACCTATAGTCGGGGGTGCTGTGTCAGTTGGTTTGGAACGCGAAGTAACGGTCAAGTGAAATATGATCGTTACATACCTTTCAGGTATGATTTTGATTTCTTAGAGGTGCTTCATGAATAAATTGGTTCAGCTTTTTAGATGATATGTGGGTCCACACATTATTGTAAAAACAATACTTTGTCAGCTACGCATCGAAGCTAAAAATACATTTTTATAACCAACTTTACTTGTTGTGTATAATACAATGGCTATTTAGATAGCTATTTTAAAAAGTAGGCTTAACTGTAACTGTTGGCTGTTCGATGACACGTTTTAACTAAATACTTTTAGAGTTATTAACTTTTAAAATTGAAGGCAAATCGTTTTTACTATAAAATATACAGTGTATACTAGAAGACGTGATGGGGACCAGTATAACTGAGAGAGAAAATTGGCAACGGTAGTTTTTTTTTTGCAAATGAATTCCTTCCCCGAAAAATGTATGAAAAAGATATACGTTAACATACAAATTCTCATTTATTGCGTCTGATTTCAGTTAGAGCAATGGATCGACCAAGAAGAGAAAAGTACGATTCTAGATCTCCTCGACCAAACCCAATTGGAACGCATTCTTCAACGGACCCCATTGCGGCTCTCGAACGGCGATTAGAATTTTTGGAACATCGAGTAGACGTCTTGTCTAGAGCTAAGCAGGCGACGCCCGCACGAAGACCCCAAACGTTGGAAGGTCTCTGCTGTTTGACAACAGAGACTGTCGTGGGAGCCGCTCCACAATCGCAGCGACGCACACAACCCTGGATGAAATATGGGACTAAGACATCGAGTGGAATGGCCGTCAACAGCTCTTACAAACCTCCGGTGCCACCTCGGCACACTTCATCAGCCTCACAAACCATTCTACCACCTGTTACGGCTGCTAGTGGCGAACCGATAAAATCGGTAAAAATACCCTTCTTTAGACGTAAATTAGTTTTGTTTAATCTTTAATGCTAAATGTTGAAAATAAAAATTATCTTCAGTATCTTATGTTATTACCAATAGCCAAAAGATATGTAAAATGATAAATATTTTTATTGTGCTTAGTATTATACACTATGTTGTCGTTATGAACGTGTAATAATACTAAAATATATCTGATATACTTACTGTCAACATGTTATTTGTTCTTATTACTTTCTTGTACTTAATTAATTTACTTTTAAAACATGGATTAGATTTTCAATAATGTCTTATGTGAATGATAGCAACCATTAGCGAGCTAAGAATAAAAATGTTCTATATTCAACATTAACTAAAAAAATATTTTTTTTTTACTAAATTTTAATCATTTTTATTTGCCCGTCTTTAGATCCATCAACGGTTTCTCTACCTACATTCTCTATAAACATATACAAAATGAAAATGTTCTAGGTTCGTAAAAATTAGATACTGTGAATTTTTTTTAATTTGGAAAAACTTTTTCAAACGCAATTACAGGATTTTAACCAAGAGGTATTTTTCATTCTCAGTCCGCGAAATGGGTATTATAGACATATGTGAAAATAAGGGTTTTCGATTTTAGTTTCATACTAGTTTGTAGTATCATTCTTATATATTTACCATGAATTTTAATCAAAATCTATCTTCTTAAAAATAAAACTGTTATTTAAATTCAACGCGTAGCTTTTGTTTCTTATATTATGTTTAAAACCACTGTCAAATCATTGGCAAATAACTTCCTTAAAACTAAAGGATAATGGGTCAGCAATGAGTAAATGTACCTAAGGTAAGGTCTACTAATAACAGAAAAAATCACGGAATCAAATTTTAAAAAACGTTGAAACATTTACAATTTTTAAGCTAGAGAACACGATTTTTTATAACAGTTTTTTGAATTCAAACAACTACACTCGAGTAAATCGGTCCACACGCAAAAAGGTTATCGTGACTTCAGGCTCAAAAAAATAAACACATTGGCAAAACTAATACCTTCTCAGCTGTCGCATCGAATCTAAAAGGAAAAATCACTCTCGCACCATATTTTAATTTCAGGTTGCTATGTGTGAATGTATCAACAGCCAACAGGTATCTGACAAATATGTTTATTGTTGTTGGTAAGCTGTGGTAGTCATTAAAGAAGAACGAAAAATTGTTCTTATATTTTTTTGTTCCACTTGTCTTCTGGAGTAAAAAAAATTTTCCTAATTTTTTCAAATTTTTCAAATTATTTTTAGCGGATGCGAGCATCAGTTTTTCAAAAATGTTTGGTTTTTTAGTATTAGTTTTCTTTACGTATAAATTAAAATTAAATTTTTATATTTAAACAGATGGTATTGTATAAAATAGTATTACTATTTTTTATTTTTAATTAATTAAAGTAAATAATTAGAACTAGCTTAGGCCTTAGAAAGTAAAACTATGAAAATATTTATAAACTAACCCTTAATATTATCCTAAAATATTTGTTTTATGGGTTTAAAAAAGAATAAATATATTTACAGGGTGTAATGTAAAGTTCTACCGAGCTTCAAATGAGACATTCAGGATGCTTTATGGGTATAATAAATGGTATTAATTTTTTTTTAATTTTAAAATTATTTAAATTATAACTCGTATCTCATTAAAAAATGGTCTAACGAAAAAAATAATTTCAGATTTGGAGAAATCTGGAGAAAAAATCTTGTTAAATTGATATGTAACAAGGGTTTTATCGTATCTGGCCACATATACGTCCACAGGGTGACCACCGAGTGGCCATTGAGTGACCGGCATGTGACTAAAATCAACATATGGCACGTGACATATCATTTTGGGTTAGAATTTTATTCTCAATTCAGTGTTGTCCTTAGTATTGTTTTACATGAAATAATGTTTCGCATGCTATATGTTGATTTTAGTCACATACCGGTCACTCAGTGGCCACTCGGTTGTCACCCTGTGGACGTATATGTGGCCAGATACCAAAAAATAATGTTACATATCAATTCAACAAGATTTGTTCTCCTGATTTCAAATCTGAATTCATTTTTTTGCTAGATAATTTTTTAATGACATAAGGGTTCTATTTAAATTTTTTTAAAAATGAACACTATTTATTGTACCCATAACACTTATTGTATCCATGAATGTCTCATTTGAAGCTCGGTAGAACTTTACATTACACCCTGTATATATTTGTTGGGTGTCTCTATGGTCTAATTTAGTTTAAAAGTTGTATTTTTATATAAATAAAAAAATACTAGTTTATTCCTCTTATTCTACTGATGACTTTTTATGCAAACAACATATTGTGCTTAAAATTAATATTTAATATTTTTGAAAAACTAGTGATCGCATCATCTAAAAATCTAAAAGAAATAGCGAAATATTGTTTTACCCCAAAAACATAATATTATAAGAGGAACAGAAAACAATTAAAAATAATAATTTTGTCTATCCTAATTACCATATTGCCTAAATATTACCATATTTAGTTGTAATTTTCTCATGAATTAACGATGTCAGGCTGGGAGTGAAGCAAAGCGAAAGCGTTTCCCTTTCAGTATGGGCGATACCGAGATTAAAAATTACCATATTGCTTATTGGTAATAACGGTGACAAACTACTAGAAAAAAACAGAAGATTAGCCCCTATCATATCTACCCTAATACTTAAAATACATTTCTGTGGCTTTGGTCTAACAGGCAGAGACAAATGAGCTTTAAAGTTTTTATTTTCTTTTAGCGCTATGGATTTTTTTCTATAAACTCTTCATAAGTAATTCATTTTTTGGCCTCAAAGAGTATCATCTTCAACACAGTATATAAAGGATAGTTATTGCATTTAGCAGACTAACTCGTACATGCCCAAAATTGACACAGGCACTTTTAGACCCAAGCCACAAATGTATAATTGCAAGTGCTAAAATGAAAATACAGGCATTGCAGCTATAACAGAATACACCAAGTTCTTTATAAACAATGTAACGACTTGAATCAATAACATTTTTTAGCCCTTTCAAATACTATATTATAAATCAGTGTAGGTTGAAAAAACAATTAAGTTGTTATGGAACTTATATGCATTTCTACCTTAATGTCTTTTGGATAAACATTAAATTTATTTAGTATATTTATATATGTGTGCAATGGTTTTTATAGAACTAATAATTGAATCGCTTTATGCATAAAAAGTCTTAGTCCATAACATAAAACTTTTGTTATTTTTGAAAAAGTATTAAATTTTAAGACCTCTATTAATGTCAATAGCGATTGGATAAATTAAATTCTATAAGATAATTTTTTTTTCAAAAACGCAGTCTTGATAGTTTGTATTATACACAATAACAAATGAAATAACTTTTGTTTTAATGAATATTTTTAAGATTTTTTTTTTTTATAATTTGTACTCATTTGCGCTGTAAGCACCAATAAGTTACTAAAGGTTAAAGGGTAGGATGGGAGATGGAGTGCGGTAGAGAAATGCGTGCAGATAAAAATAGCTCTAAGCGCTTACTCTACCGCACTCCACCTCCCATCCTACCCTTTAACCTTTAGTAACTTAAAAATTAATTATCCAAATCTTTTAACAAAATGGCTATATTGAAATTTAAAAAAAAATGTAACAAAAAAAATTTTAAAAAAATTAAAAAAAGTAAAATAGTTAAGTGCAATAAAAAATGTAGAGCTATATTATAGCGCAAATGAGTATAAATTGTTTAAAAAAAAAAAACTGAAAAATATTCACTAGAAGAAAAGTTATTTTATTTGTCAAATCATTGTGGGCCATCCTGTATAATATAGTATTTATTATTATACTGTGGCCCTTATTATAAAAATTTATAATTATATGTAATTAATACACTTAAAATTTATTTTAATTAATCATCTTAAAAACAAAAAGTCTGTGTCATAAAACCAGTTTTATTAGCTTTCTAAACAACGAAATATATACCTTAATATTAAAAATAAATTAAAATTAAAAATATAGGTATTTGTATAAAATATAACAACAACTAACTTGTATTTTTGATAATATGATTAATCATTATTTTTGTAAATAGTTATCATAACATTAGAAACATTAATATGAGAATAACAGCCAACAGTCATATTGATAATATTATTTTCGCTGAAATGTGAACTAACGCCTAACATCCCTTTTCAACAAACCTTACCTGTATACTTACACCGTGAGATGGTTTCTTGACGAATTCGCTATCCGAGACTGGTCGTCAGTCCGTCGCCGTGTTGTTAGCTAGGTTTAGCTGTCATGCGTTTAAGTGTAAAACCAGAAATCGAAAATAAATAGATCTTTAAAAATTTGGAACTAGGTACCCACAATTGCTGGAATTACAATCTGATGCGAGGACGACGTCTATAGTCATATTTCAAAGGCATGATTCGACCCCATGATGGTTCGCACTGCGATACGGAAGGCAAGGGGAAACCACCGTATAAATCATCCCAAGAAATAGCAAAAGCTACAAACAAATCTCAGGATTGAATACTAAAGAAGAAGATTCGACCCCGAGACACAAATAAACATTAAAATTTTTCATTAATTTACCAGCAAATTTACCCTGAACCATACAACTAATCATTTTTAAATAAAAACTAAAATGTAGTATTTTATGGTTTTTGTTAATTTACAAAGTCCAAATTCATTGAGTTAAGTATTATGAAATGTATGTGTCACACACTAATATTAAACCAAATTTAAATTACAAAAAAACGTACAATATAAAATATTATCTGATAAATTTATGAGGAACTTTGTTAAATAGGGCCCACGCTTTTCTCTTATGTCAAAAATTAAAGATGTTTAACATTATTTAAAATTGTAGTTAGTTTTCGGTTGTTTTCAAAGTAATTGACATTTTAAATTAAATGTGCTACAATTGATTGGTAAATTGTTCTTGTAATAAAATTATTTTTTACTTTTTACTATTTTTTAGAAAAGCAGTTAAGAACTGATTAGTGTCAATAAGTTCAGATCACAAACGATCTACCGACTAAAAAAAGAATGTCCGGCGCTGCTGCTTGAATAAAAGTGGAGTATATTTGTTTTTATGTTTAAAAGAAGTATCTAAAGGTTAGACGGT